AAATTAAAATAATTAAAAATGAAGAGATTAAAATACATGGGCATATACATATTTTATTTAATAAAGGGCTTATTTGTTTTAAGATTACAAACATTTTTCCATGAAAGACCAGCTCTTTTCTTACAAGTTAAAACAATATTAAGAGTACAAAATATCTTTAAACAAATAACTGAAAAACTATTGAATTCAAATTGAAATATTTTAATTTATAAATATCATTGTTTATATAATGAATCCTGAAATAAATTATCAAAATCTCTCTTGGAAGGTGCTGAATCCAAACATACTGTATATTTCCATGTATAAGGCGACCCTTAAATAAGACAAGGTAAAAAAAATAAATAAATAAATTATCAGGAATTTATCCTATACCTGTTGTATAAAATGAATGTGTATTGATTAGATGATGTTATTGGATATGTTACTTACTGTATCCTTAGAAATACAAAATAAATGAAATAACAAACAAAACCAATTCTATATCAAGTTTTTTCTACACACGTCCCCTAAAAGGGAAATCATTGTTAGGCTTATATTTCATCATGTGATCTCTTGCAAATACCAATTCTTCTTCTGCCTAAAGTTACAAACAGCCTGGTGTGCTAATGGCCATTTACTTATACTTCATCGGCAATCATATAATAATGCTAATAACAGTATGCTAATGTAATAGTACGTTCCACTTTCAACATTTTTTCTTTTTTATTCAGTCCGTTCCTAACTTTCATCTAAGCCAATTGAAATTTTATCAAAAGATAAAGCTTGCTGGGAACACAATCATAACTCAATGTTTACATTTTCTCAGCTGAGCTTGGATACAAGTTGATTTCATTGATATGGAATTATTCTTCGAACAGGCAATTTATTATGAAGTAATATATAAGGAAGAAATGGTTTTATTACTTTTATTATCAGGTTATTTGATAATGTGAATCTTTTCATGTACGTTATTGTTTATAAAAAACCAAGGTTAGCCTATCAACAAACATCACTCAGAATTTAAAGTTTCTTCATTAGAATCGTAGTAGACAATCCCCAATTTTTAAGGGTGATTTGAGGAATCTAAAGGTCGTCTTATACGTAGAAACATACAGTATATAGTTTTAAGGGTCTAAATCAGTCTTGGGCAAACTGTGACCTGCAGGCCACATGCAGTCATTTGGCTTTCTGAATTACATGCTTAATTTCATGAAAATAACGTTTATTAAAATTATGGTTTGCTTCATTCTCACTTGTTCACTCACAATCTCTTTCATGTCAAGTGGTTGAGAGAAGCAGGTGTCAAAGGGAAATAACTAAAAAATGCACGAGTAACCTCCCTTACTTATTAATGCCTGTTGTGTTTTGGGTACAGTTCGACTAAACCCTACACAAAAATAATGTTCCTTGAATTTTGTAACTTTTTGTTGAAGTTAACATTCTCAGCATTCTAAATTATTGGCAATTTTCACTATACATGTAAAAAATATTTTGCTTTAGAAAGGAGAAACATTTGTATCAATTTTTTTTTCTCTGGAGAATAAATAAATATATATAATTATTTATTTAAAAATATGATTCAACTCACAACATAAGAGGTCTCAAAAAAAACAAGAGCTGAAAACTTCAATATAATTATTTGAATTAAATTGAGTTAAAGTGAGCTCTGTTCCATCTTCAAGCGAAAATTTTTTTGGAATAACTTATTTCTGAAATTTAAATTTTTTTAATAATTGAAATCAAAATTTCCATGGTAACAGCTAATCGAATTGTTTAAAAATGCAAAAGGCGTGTGTTGGTGTTAATAATAAGTATCAGTATATTTATGCTCTACTTTTGTATCAAGCACTATTTTTAAAAAATAATAACTAAAATACTAAGGAACTTTGGATTATTTACTTAACCAGTTCTTTCCTATTTTCTATATATTTTCACACACACACACACATATATATATATATATATATTTAAAAAAAAAAAAAAAAGAAAAGATTTTTTTGTATTTTCAAATGAATAAATTCGAAATAAATCACATTCAGCTTCACAGTGTCATCAGTAATGAAATTATACGAAATCTTCAATTTTTAAATTGTAGAAAAAAAATCTTTTCTCCAAATAAAAAATACTGACCCTCTCCTATTTCTAAGGCAGATGCTTACGTGAATGATCTTCTGTAGTGACATTGGTCACTTTACTTTCAATGAAAAAGGACTGAATTCTTTCATTAGTGCAGCCCATTTTACGAGGAGCTGTATTTCATGTGGACCACTGGTTGGAAAAGGGTTGTCTATGCCTGGTTTAAATGTTGTATTATAAGCTGGGCACAGATACACACAGAAAAATGAACTTTATTATAGAATAGACGTCCTTAATGCAATTTGCATCACACCATAACAGTATTTCTTAAACCTTTCTTCATTTTAATTCAATAGTTAATCAATTATTTATTTTAAAGATTTTTTATACTTAATGGATAAAAACTTCAGTATCTGTTTATATTTCTGAGATGAGGTATTATGTAAATTGTTTACATTATTCGGACTGTTGTTCTTATCTTTGTCGCCATATTTATTACAACGTTTCAGCCGTTGTACACTCCAGCCTTCTTCAGGTGGCTGGAATGTCAAACTGAACCCTTTATTTTGCTCACTGGGGTAGACTGTTCTAGTTCCACGTGCCATTTTTAATGGATGTCAGCTGCAGAAAGAAATATAAAGGGGAGACAGGCTGCCCCCTTAAGGTAAGGCTTCAAGAACGACAGAAAGCTTAAAACGAGGGGAAGTGGAAAAATCAGGCATAGCTGACTACATATGGAAAGAGAAGATAGATCACCACCCTCTGTGGAATCAAATTGAGATCATAGACAAAGAACATCATTGGAAAATTCGTAAACTTAAGGAATCAGCACATATGCTAGGCCACAAAAATCTCCTGAGCCGACCAAGCATAGAAATGAATATAATATGGGAACTAGTAATAAGGAGTACCAGAGAAAAGCGATAATAGCAACAAAAGTTGCAATATGAGCTCTGGTAAAAACATAAAAAATGATAACAGCAGAAATTGCAATATGAGCACTGGTAAAAATGGTTGCCGAGACATTAGGTTTATAATACCCAGAAATTCATACACAGATGTCCTCAAGGACACATGGCACAGTGGATAAAGTTATTGGTTATATCCAGTGACAGGAAGAGGACCCAAAGAGTGTGAGTTCAATACCTGGTTAAGGCAGTGGAGAACTTTCAGAGGGAAATTAACCAGAGATAACTGATAACTGAAATCCATTAAACATGGCACATGGAACTAGAACAGTCTACCCCAGTGAGCGTGGATAAAAATTTGTATTATAAATAAATAAATAAAAGTATTGTCTTTTATGGAAAATTAAATTTTTAAACCAATTAGCCCTTTATTAAATAAATGAATGTATATTCTTTTACTTCTTTTATTTTCAATTTAACTTTTTGCCAATGTTTATTTTAAAAAAAATAATTGAAGGATGAAAAGTTTACCTACTTAAATTGAAACCTGTTTAATGTTTTTTGTTAAAAGTATAGCTTTTTTTTATATTTGATTTCTGCATGAATAAATAATTAATAACCATTTCTTAAAGACAAACGTATAGAATATTCTACAAATCATTCTTTCATTAATTCTGCTGCTGTTTATTTAAAAAAAAAAAAAAAAAAAAAAATTAATGATGCCAAGTTTAAATTGGAAACTCTAAAATGTATTTTTTTTGTTACAGTTTCGAATGCTATTACATATATTTTAATTCACAGATATCATCACTGATATAAAGTATATGCAAATAAATTATCAAAACCTTCCTTGATACATACTGAATCAGAATGTATATTGTTTTAAGAGTCTAAATATTGTAGTTTAGACATTTAAGATGGATATGTATACACCAAAAAAAGATTTAGAACAAAGTTAACCATTCTTTTCTTTATGTATTTATTTAAATAAATGACAAAAAAAATTAGATTGTAATTAATATTTTACGTTTAAATTTCAGGGATGAGAAGTTATAATTATTTATACTTTTTACAGTTGGACTATTGTCCTCATCTTTCTTACAGTTATCACATTTCAACCATTGGGCCCTCTGAATTTCACCAGATAACCTACAGGGAATTCAAAACAGAACCCTTTATTTAATCTATGGGGTTACATTGTTCTCATTCCACTGCACAGCACATATCTTGTCTAGTTCTTACTTTTAGTACTAGCTAAATTATTGCTCACCCCATTTCCACTGAGTCCAAGCAGAGACTGCCCAGGGCAGGGACTGAACTCACAATTATCATATCACTAAATTCACAAACCAATGCCTTAATCCACAAGACTCTTGTCTCTTAGGTTACCCGGATTGTTATACACCTGATGAAGGCTGGAAAGTACAACGGCTAAAATGTTATAACAAAAATGACTGATTTTGTTTAGCAGCATATCAACACCTCTATGGGTTATTTAATGCCAAAATCTAAATATTTTGATTGGTTTGGTTGGTTATCTTTGTTTAGCGGCATATCAACACCTCTATGGGTTATTTAATACCAGAATCTAAATATTTGGATTGGTTTGGTTGTCTTTGTTTAGCGGCATATCAACCTCTGTGGGTTATTTAATGTTGAAATCTAAATATTTTAACATAATTTTATGGCTTTAACTAAATATATTTTGAATGCAATTGTATGCCTTCAACTACAGATAAAATGTATTTTTGGTCATTTTACTATAAATATGTATTATCATCATACCCAGGACTTAGCAAAAATGAAGACAATAGTTCAACTGTAATTAGTGTAAATAATATAATGAATAGTGTTATAATTAATTAAGTGATGTTGGATTTAGATATTAATTCTTAATATTGTTCATTAATTTCTATGGTATTATTTTGATATAATTCCTGGCCAATGTCGGGTAGCTCTGCTAGTAAGGAAATAAAAAAAAAAAAAAAAAGTTTAAAATAAATGTTCGTAAAGAGGAAACAAACAAGACCAACTTACAAGGTGCATAAAACATTAACAGCATTGGAAGTTTTTGTTTTTTCAACATTTTGTTTAGATTCTGAAACAGAAACAATAAGACTCAATTGTTTCTCGTTAAAATATTAGAAAGAAACAAGGAAAAGAGAACGTGATGGATTATCCTTTACAAAGGCTATCACTTATCTCTGTTTATACGGATCATAGCTGGGTACCCCCCTCCTCCTCCTCCATCCACTTGTGTTCCAGAAGGTTTAGAACCACCCCAAGGTCACATAGGTGGTCAAATCTTCAAAGGACTATGTATTCAACTTGTCTGGTTTTTGCACGTCTACATGTTGAGAGTGCCTCTCTCGACTGAGAAAAACACTGGACTAGATCTCCTAGTCCCAGACCCATGCTGACTATTGGCTAATACCTGCTCAGTATCGTTCCTATGCAAATAATCAGTGCCACCTATTCTAAGTAGAAGGTCTTCTCTCAACAGCCCATTGTGTAAGAGGACGCAACTCCTGGTGTTATATAGCTCTCCTAGTCCCAGATCCATGCTGACTTAGCTAATACCTACCCCAGTATCGTTCATATGCAAATAGTGTCACCTACTCGAAGTAGGTCTTCTCTCAACAGCCCATTGTCGAAGGGGCTTACAGGGCTGATCCAATTCTTTGTTATAAACTACTTTTATGACTATCTAAAAATCATTGATAAAATTTGAATCTTGAAAACGCCAACAATTCAGGTGCTTCAAGGATGGATTAGAGACGAAATTCAGCTGAACAGACTTAAAAGGAAGGAGTTTATCTACTTATATTCTAAAGATGTGTCAGAAATCGCATTGTTATAATTATGACTCAACCAACCAACGCAGAACAAAGGTTGAATGGTAGGAAACTGCTTCTAGAATTAATTTCTCTTAATTTCTCTTCTATCTAACAGCAAGTTGTTTATAGCATATTTGAATGTGTAATTGAGAAAACTTGCAAAGAAATAACTTTGGTTCCTCAGGGGTTTTTGCTTGGGAACCAAACAATGTACCAGGTACATTTTCTTTAATAAAATTTTGATGCTCTAGGCTGGTAGGCTTTAATTTCAGCATTTGTAAATAAACAGCAATATCTGCTCCAATATTGTCAGAATGAAAAAAAAATCCATTCATTGATTGAATTACTTTATGGTGCAGGTACAAAAATACAAGTTAACAGATATAGATACTGAAATGTCCTAATGAGCTTCTAGCTTCCGACTATTCAATACGATGCCCAAGTTACAAGCACGTAACATTGTAATCTTTATTTCGAGTGTTCTACCTTCCGGCCTCTGTCATACTTGGTAACCATCTTGAAATTTCGAATTTAACACTTTATTCAATAAACGAGGTAGATAACTTATCAGTTAATACTTTTTAGTCAAATTCAACATTATGTTGGGGATTAAATACATGCCTATCATAAAACCAGATATTCTTTAACCAATATTCTAATTTAGGTCATGTGTGTTGACCAAATGGATGGAAGTGTTCTATAAAGATTACACACTTAAGGCCAGAAAATGAACAGGCTGCAAATTTTTCCACTGGCCTGAAGCAGAGCGACTACATCAAATCGATAGCTGCATCTCCTGCGAGTTGGTTCAGTGTTGTGCCAGAAAATTTCTCTCGTCAGAATCCATTATGCACATTTATAAATTTACCATTCATATGTGGTCTGGTGCTCCAAAGACAACAAAACCCAGGAATAGTCTGTAATATTATAACATTTCTCTGTGCATTGAATACTGCTGCCATATCCAGTTTGGTGCTCCTGCCGTACATATTGAGATTCTTGACAAAATTCAAAGAAAACATCTCAATGTGACGTGTCTTTTCTACAAATATTTTCAGGAAAAACTGATCTGATGAGCTTTTTTTTCCTTGGTACCATGATTACACGAATTTAAGTGCAGTACTAGATTGGCAATTAGGTCTCATCATTTTACTGTTGAACTAGCTAGATACCAGTGAAACTCCTGATTTCTTGCTTCCTTGACAATTACAATCTCTAAAAATTTAAATGCAACATCAATCGCCATCTTCTCTCTTCCTGAACCCTATTCCCTTTTTAATCCTTTCCTCAATCACTACTTGAAGCAAAAACTTATGAATAAAGTATTTACTATAAAAACATCTTTGCTCCAAAAATTTATATCCTATCATAACACACAGCGGTTGCAAGGGCATCACTTGTATTGCACACATTGCAGCTGTGTGTGGCTAGGGCTAGATAGCCAAATGGTGCATGCTTTTCTTCAAGTAGGTTTTGAATTCAGAGTAGTCTTTATTCTTTTTGCCCTATTAAGGCTAAAGAATCCAGTCTGTCCTGTTATTTATCCCCTATCTGGATGGGATAAGACAAATTCTTACTTTTTCAAGGGCATCAGTACTAAATGAACAAAATAGAATTATCACTTGGCATACCAATACAACTTTTCGTGCTGATAACAATTACACTATATACACATGCTGTATTCTAGAACAGTAAGGAAATGTTTTTTGACAAGATTAAACTTACTTATTAAAAATAAAAAAAAAATTATTAAAAATTAATAAAAATTTTAAAAAATTAAATTAAAAGAAAAGGAAGAGAACTAAAAATTTAAATTAACAAAAATTGAAACTGAATGTTTTTAGGACAAGTCCATGTAAAATACAAGAAAAAATTAGAACTGCTTAAATGTAAACTAATATTCTGCATATTTTGGGATACAATTTAATCAAGAATTACAGAAATAAAAATGGCAAATAATACAGAAGTTTATGCAAAAAAAAAAAAGAAAAAGAAAAAAGAAAGAAAGAACAAGCTTAGAAGTTGTTCTTCAATCTAACCTGCTCACTGTCAATATGTACAACATTCTCTGCATCTGGATCTTCCTCCCAGGGAATGTCACCTTTGGGATCTTGTAAAAATTTCACCATAGACTAAAAAAGAAAAAAAAAAAAAAAAAAAAAAAAAAAAAAACAGGAATGGTTGAAAGGAAAGAGAAAAATTAAAGGCAAAAACAGAAAAGAGTCAGAAAAAAAACAGAAAAGAGTCAGAAAAAAACAGAAAAGAGTCAAAAAAAAAACAGAAAAGAGTCAGAAAAAAAAAAACAGAAAAGAGTCAGAAAAAAAAAAGAAAAGAGTCAGAAAAAAAAAAAAAGAGTCAGCAAAAAAAAAAAAGTCATCCAAAAAAAAAAAAAACAGAAAAGAGTCAAAAAAAAAAAACAGAAAAGAGTCAGCAAAAAAAAAAAAAAAAAAAAAAAAACAAAAAAAAAAAAAAAAAACAGAAAAAGTCAGCAAAAAAAAAACAGAAAAGAGTCAGAAAAAAAAAACAGAAAAAGTCAAAAAAAAAAAAAGAAAAGAGTCAAAAAAAAACACCAGAAAAGAGTCAACCAAAAAAAACAGAAAAGAGTCAGCAAAAAAAAAACAGAAAAGAGTCAGCAAAAAAAAACAGAAAAGAGTCAGCAAAAAAAAACAGAAAAGAGTCAGCAAAAAAACAGAAAAGAGTCAGCAAAAAACAGAAAAGAGTCAGCAAAAAACAGAAAAGAGTCAGCAAAAAAAAAACAAAAAGAGTCAAAAAAAACAGAAAAGAGTCAAAAAAAAAAAACAAAAAAAAAGAGTCAGCAAAAAAAACAGAAAAAGAGTCAGCAAAAAAAAAACAGAAAAGAGTCAGCAAAAAAAAAACAGAAAAAGTCAACAAAAAAAAGAAAAGAGTCAGCAAAAAACAAAAAACAGAAAAGCAAAAAAAACAGAAAAGAGTCAGCAAAAAACAGAAAAGAGTCAGCAAAAAACAGAAAAGGAAGAAAAATAGGAAAAACAGAAAAAAAAGAATATAGAAAGAAGAAAAAACAAAAAAGGGAAAAGAAGAAAAAAAACATTTTTTTTTAAACAAATAAAAAAGACAGACACAAGATATATTGTCTTGGAACAAAAGTCCATAGAGTTTTTTTAAGGGAATTTCAAAGATGATATTTAAATATCTGCACACAGATTTATTCAACAGTGATAAGCTATTTTGTTCCACTATCTTTTGCTAACTTTCAGACAGTTTCATTATACCATTGTCCCAGAAGTTGGTATTTTTTTTGATAATTCAATGGGTCTAAGGAAATATTACAGGCTTCCCAAGAATTGAAGTTCTTCCCATAAAATGAATCTTGCCAAAGTAAGTGGTAACCCTAAAGTGTAAGGTTGGGTGAGTACGGCAAGTGTAATAAGACATCCCAGCCATGCTGTACCAATTTCTGCCAAGTCTGCAAAAAGCCACAAAGTACGGCAATGCCTTGGTGGAAGATCACCTTCCATTTGGTCAATTCTGGAAATTTTTCATTGACTGCTGCCATTAACCAGTGCAATTAAGAAGAGTTCATGCCTGAATTTTATGGACACCGTAACACACAATGCTCATGCAATGCCACCAAATGCAGACCAGCAATTCATTTTCTCCCAGGACCTTTTTCTATTCCATGCTTGTAAACAATCCATTTTTCATTAGATGTGATCATTCTTCAAAAGAAAAATGGATAGATTCAGTTGTATTTAAGCAGATTAATCTGGATTAATTTTTCTGTTAAATCATGTGGCACACAAATATTGTAGCAATTCATATATCCAAATGTTTTCAAATGCTTTATAATGATCATATGAGATATGCGGAGTATCTTTGCAATATCCCTTGTCATGTGACCTGGAATATTGCTAACTGGTATTACAATTTGATAAATATCTAACTGAAAGCCTGTCACAATGTACTCAAAATCAAAATTTCCACTTCTGAACCTAGCAAACCACTTACAAACAGTACTGTCAGCTATGGCACCATTTCCATAAATGGCACATATCCTTTTTGCTGTTTCTATGGTATTTTCTTTTCTGGAAATAAAATACTATCAAATGATGCATCACATTTTCACTTAACATAAAAAAGTATTTCAAATTCACAATCTATACATTAATAATATAGAAAAACACAATAGGTGCCCCAATATAACCAGCTGAACATACAAAGTCAAATGGGTCCAAAATGATATTATCAGAGCCTGAAGAGGTAAGTATTTTTATGACCAGAAGATAAAGTCTTTGAAGTATGGTGCTCAAAGCAGCATCCCACTTGACAGAAGTGAAATAAAATAAATAAATGAAAACTTGTGGGATCAAGTGACACTTGGCCAGAAGTCAGGAGTTTCCGTTGGTAACCTTATATAAGTAGAGTACCACAGGGAGAGGAATCGTTCATCCAACCAGTCACATTGGCAGTTATTGTTCAAAAGAAGGAAGAAGTGGCAAATGGACTTATCTACTACTTACATGCCCTACATCCCTGAATATAAGGCCTGACTCGAAACGCAGCCAATAAGTAATCAAGTATCATATATACTCGAATATATTATGCGATTTTATTATCACTTTTTTATGCAAAAAAAAAAAAAAAAAAAAAAAAAAAAAAAAAAAAGTTGCTATACACAGGTAAATACCTCACACATAAAACTAAGATCTTAACTAGATGAAGACACTAATGCTACTAATGTCTTACCGTAATGTGGGAGATATATATGGGAGGTATTTCTGGCACACCATATATAACACACACACACAAAGAGGGTGCGACAGAAATACCTTATATATATATATATAAGGTATTTCTGTATGAATAATTCATGAATTTGTAAATTAATTGCACCTTTATTGAAATTAAAATAACTGATCCAAGTGCAACTTTTGGATAATAAGTGCGACATTACTGTAATTATTGAACAATATAGTTCATGCCACTTTGACAGAAAATTTACCAGTAAAAAAGAATTCACTCATCACTATATTTGTACAAGAACGCATAATCGTAAAAATTTAAATTCAAACTCAGCATTGCGACTAATGAACTTCAAAAAACAATAACTCATTTCTAATATCATTTTTCAGATTACAATACATATATTTTCGTTGTCCTCTTATTACTGAGAAAAAAAAACAAGAACAAAATCTATTCCATACCTGAGGATGTCTGTAGGAACAGACGAAAGCTTGTAAAAATAATAAGAACTCATGCAACAGAAATTTATAGAAACAAGGATCTTTTCATTCATAAACAGGTTCGGGGTTTTTGTATATTATTTGAATTGTTCGCAACGATGGATTTCTCGCCAATTAAATCATTAACCTTTGTATTCGTTTTTTGTATGAATAATTCATATATATATATTATAAAATTTTTGACATTTAGGCAAATCATTATATTAATTTATAGAGTCTAGAAGAATTACTCAACAGAATGCTGTGGCGGACATGAGACAGAACCTGGGACGAGCACAACTGGTCGCGACTTGCCTTGTCTTTGAAAAAAGATTAAATATTTGCTTAGCATGTAAAGCTACTGCAGTTGAAATGAGGGAGAAAAAAAGCACTTACCGCTCTGCCGTAAATCCATCCTCGGCCAGATAACGTAAAAAGAATGAGGGGGACTAGCATTGCATTTTTATGCAATAACGATGCAATGCATTATGGGACATGGACGCAATGAATTATGGGATCACATGAAGACGCAAAAGGGATTATGGGTACATGAACAACTATAAAAACAACTACTTTTTTTATAAGTCGGGGAGTTCTTGAGGGACGTTCACGGTTGACGGCAAGAACGGGCAGTTAGTGTGATTTGGAGACAGAACTCAAGAAGGAACGACTCAAGTTTGAAATACCAGCTGGGAGAGCTTGAATTTACTCGCTGGTTACTGTTTTCTTCATTCGCCTCAAATGCAGAAGAAACTGGACAGCTGTTTCATCCTATTTTGGGGACTCATCATCAGTGCACATCCACTACCAAGATTCAAGCCCAAACTGTTTTAATACAACGCAAGCGTCATACCATCTACCAACAAGCCTCAGTGACAAAGAAGAAACTGAATAGACTCTATATAGTGCTGCTACTCACAAATTTTGTGGTGATATTCATCCAAGTATTCATAACATAATGTGCTCCAAGAACCATGACTTTGCTTTCCCCCAAACCACTCCATCAGAGAACATTAGCCGAGTAAAACAAGGATATACAAGTAATAGAATTTTGGGGATTTAGGCAAATCATTATAGTAATTCATTGAGTCTAGAAGAATTACTCAACTGAATGCAGAAACCACTGGATGACCATTTTGTCCTATTTTTGGGACTCATCAACAGTGAGCAGCCACTACCAAGATTCAAACCCGAACCATTTCAATACAATGTTTTCAGTAAATCTTATAAAAAAAATGAGAAAAAATAAAATAAAACATTAAGCCAGCAGACCTTGTTGGTTGAATTTAACTGCATAAGTTAATGAAAGGTGAAATCAATTCCATAACAAGAAATGAAACTCAGGATATATTTTATTCACTGGGTTTCCAAGTCAGGCCCGGGTATTCTCTCTGGAAGTAGGGAGGCAAATAAGTCCCTTTGTCTCCTTCTCACAACATGAATATATGGTCGGTCGGTCTCTCTCAATTTACTTATTCCGTATGCAGACTTATATAAGTCTGCATATGGAATTTTCTGACTTCTGACTAAGCATCACTTGACCCTGCAAGTTTTCATTTATTTAGCTATTATTTTAATCCCCACTTTGCTCAAGTGGGTTGCTGCTTTGATCGCAAGACTTCAAAGATTCTATTTTGTAACCATAAAAAACATCTGCCACTTTAGACACTCCCAATAACATCATTTAGGGCCCACTTGATTGCGTGGGTGTATTCAACTGGTTATATGGGGAGGGTCCACTATGCCACAGGGCCTGGGAATCAAAATTGTGGATAACCTTTTCGTATATTCAGGTTTTGTTCCATTTTTGTCAAAGTATTTTTGACAGTTACCAAGCACTGGGTGTTGTGGTAGACAAAATTTTTCTGGCTACATCCTGGTATATTTCTTTGGGCACTCGAATTCAAATTAATCCAAAGTTGACATCATGTATAAAATGAGCAACAATTGGTTGAGATCAATTTGTTTTTTATGGCTTATCAACCATTTGTGGGTTATTTAAAGCCAAAACATCTTGGATTATAATAATTCTTTTTCTTTTTTTTTTGTGAGTAAATATTGCATTAACAAATTTTTTTTAGAATAAGAACTTCTATTTAATCCATAGTTGAGAGGAGAAAAAAAAAAGGATTCATACCTTCCTCAAGTGTATTTGAAGAGTAAATGAATGTAACTAACCCAACTGGAATTTGAACTCAACTGATTTCTCATTAGAGTCACTATTGCACTACACACACATCTGAGAGAGAGCATTGCCATGAGCAACAGAGGGTGTAAAGAAAGCCATGAAGAAGGACTACAAAGAGACATGTACTTAAACATGGAACCCAGACCTCAAGTGGACCTCATATATATGTTTCATCGCTATAGATGCAGGTAAAATGGTCGGCTTCCTGACTCCTCATGCTATCCGTTACCTTTATAAGAGCCAGATCAAGCTGGAAATGGAGTACTGCTGTCATATTTGGGCAGGAGCTGCTGAGTACTGACTTTCCAGTCTCGATATAGCCCAAAAGCATCTCCACATCTTTGTGGGTGACAAGTGATTTTCCACTCGGCAAGCCTCTCACTACTCTATGAAAATTGCTCAAACTAGATTCCTTAGTTCTACCAGTTCTAGTCTTCATGGCGAGGACCCGCCATGCTACACACATTGTTGTGAACCGTCCTCATTCTCTATATGTGAAAAGTAAGATCCACTTGAGCAACTTACTCACAAGAACCACTGCTCTGTGGAACAAACTCCCAAGAGGATGTTCCCCACCCTGATCACGACAATCTGAACCTTTGCCTCGTTCTCTGTAACCCTCTACCTTGAGAAGCTCCCAGGCCTTGTACAGGATGAAACTCACTATAAAAATTTTTAAAAAATTAAAAAAAAAAAAAAAAAAAGATATAAAACATTATATATATCTCTAAAGATTTCAAGAGTTTCAAAGACTTACTTACTTTTACTGTATATTTGCGATCATAATCACGATTAAATTCTCCATCCCTGAAAAAAATGAAATAAAACCAAAAACTGAATATTTAATTAAATACAGCACGTGCATGTCATGCCTTGGCTTTGCAAGCAAATATTTATGAGGGTTTTCCGCATTTGATACATGTGTATAGACAATGCTGCAGTTTTGTTCCCAGTGAGGCTTTGAGGTCAAAGTGCAGCTTGGAAGGAAGGAAATTATCAATGATGCATTTTGGCGTTTTTTTTTCTTTTGGGGCGGAGGGTAAAGGCCAATAGATTAACCAAAAGTATTCAGATCCAAAGATCATTTGAACAATCCTTACACACTATGTCCAAAAAAAAGAAATCTCTTGTATGCATGCAAAAAAATGAAAAGTTTAATCACAGTGCCTTGTCAGGTGTCTTCAATAAAACCTGTATAAAAGAGGAATTGCTGCCAAAATACAGTTATCCATACAATAAATGCAAATGTCACAGTGTCACACTTTTTCAATGAAAATGTGACAACTCTCTAACTTTCAATAGCTAGCCGTCTTCTATATAATAAATGCAAATGTCAGTGCGTCACTTTCTCAACTTTACTTCCAGAGGCCATAACCTAACATATAACATTTTGGAATCAGGCCAACTCTGTGAGCTAATTAAAAAATTCCAAGTTGGATCCAGACCTGCAATCTCAAAATTTTGAATTCCTAAGTTTTCATTACTGCGTTTGTTTTTGGCAATTTTTGTAGGTGAAGTTTTTGCTACAAATCTTTTTGTATGATAATTTTTATAACTAAACTTGGGAATAATTGAAATTAATTGCAAAATCCAGCGAAAGTCACCCATGAAATAAAAATAATTGTTTGTATGGAAAGTAAGAACCTACATACATCAAATCGTCTTTAAATTAAATAGCGGCAAAAGAATTATCGTTGATCTTTTAAAAGTTAGCATAAATATTAATGCAATACTTAAATTCAGCGATCAATTTTGAGTTCTGTAGTTTATTGTTGCCTATTGCATCTACTCCTCCCTACCTATTGTAATGAAGGGCCAATTAAGAGCCCTCCACAGAATCTAGTTTAAATGTCGCCCAATATAAATTCGGATCAAATATGGATTAGAATCTGACAATGAGTGGATAAAGAATAAGAAACATAAACTTAATGTTTTGTTTTTATTTATTACTAGCAGTAGAACCCGGCGTTGCCCGGGGATGTAACAGTAAGAGATAGATCAAGTATCGACCATCATAAAGACTGAAAAATAAAATTGACAAAAGATTATTGTTTAAGGTTGACGGACACGCATGTCTTAGTTTTTAGTTTTTTTTTTTTTTACAAATTGGTCAAACCCAAACTCAAAAAAACATTGTTTTCAATCGTTATGAGTCTACCGATTAAATAGAATTTTATTATAAACAATTGTCTTGTAAATGGAATTTTTAAAGCATTCTGAATGTAAAAAAATAAAAAAAAAAGTGTGCAAGACAATAAGAAACACTACCTGCCAAAAAAAAAAAAAAAAAAAAAAAAAGTGAAGTTTTTTGTTGAAATCGGTTGAAAAATGTAGGAAATCTGATCCCATATATAAACGAAACACACACACACAACCTGGGTTTTGGGTTTTATAATAAGTATAACTCGATATGAGTTGTCCCCCTTTCATTCTTGCGTCAGCAATGCCTCTTAATCGTGTTTTCAAATTGTTTTCGTGCAAAAACAATTGTGTTTTTCCAATTTTGGGCGCTGTCAGAACCACTGCAAGGTAATTTTATGTAGTCCTGTGAAGTTTTGTTGAAATCGGTTGAAAAATGTAGGAAATCCAATCCAATATATAAACAGACACACACACACAACCTGGGTTTTATAATAAGTATGATTCAGGAACAATTTCTGATTTATATATATATATATATATATATATATATATATATTACACACACACACACACACCCTGAATAATACTTGGTAGGCCATATACATATATCAGCAGATGTTTTATCACTACACACCTTTAAATATTTAATGCCATGCCTTTTCTTAAAATTTTAACCAGCCTGCTGAATAGTTACATTATTTACATTATTCAGCCTTATCCCCAGCTTCATTGCCATATTCACAACATTTCAGCCATTGTACATTCTGGCCTTCTTCAGGTGATTGGAATTTCAAACCAAACCCCTGGTTTCAACCACCGGGGTCGATTGTTCTAGTTCCACGTGCCATGCCTCTTCTGAATGTCTCAGTTATTTCCCATAAACTCAACTCTCCAAGTTTGGTTCACCACTGCTGTGGCTTGGTATTAAACTCACAACTATCTGGGTTTAGTCACTGGATCTAACCAACGTCTTTATCCACTGGGCCAAAGCATACAATGGCCAAAACATTGTGAATATGGCAATGAAAATGAGGATAACAGTCCGAATAATTTAAATCATGTTAGTAATCATATGACTTCATCTCAGAGATATAGACAGCCTGCTGAATATTCACAGTTACCTTGAACATTCAGTTTGTGATGGTAGATTTTCGCCTGTTTCATGACCAGCATTCCAGTAAGTGAAAAAAAACAAAATGGAAGAAAGGGTGAAAAAAAACAAAATGGAAGAAAGGGTGAAAAAAAACAAAATGGAAGAAAGGGTGAAAAAAAACAAAATGGAAGAAAGGGTGAAAAAAAACAAAATGGAAGAAAGGGTGAAAAAAAACAAAATGGAAGAAAGGGTGAAAAAAAACAAAAATGGACCTGAAAAAACAAAATGGAAGAAAAAAAAAAAAATGGAAGAAGGGTGAAAAATGAAAAAAATGGAAAAAAAACAAAAATGGAAGATATATAAAAAACAAAATGGAAGAAAGGGTGAAAAAACAAAATGGAAGAAAGGGTGAAAAAACAAAATGGAAGAAAGGGTGAAAAAACAAAATGGAAGAAAGGGTGAAAAAACAAAATGGAAGAAAGGGTGAAAAAACAAAATGGAAGTGAAAAAAAAAATGGAAGAAAGAAAAAAAAAAAAAATGGAAGAAATGGAAAAAAAAAATGGAAGAAAGGGTTGAAAAAACAAAATGGAAGAAAAAAAAAAACAAAAATGGAAAGATTTAAAAAAAAAAAAAATGGAAGAAATGGAAAATGGAAGAAAATTGAAAAAAACAAAATGGAAAAAACAAAATGAAAAACAAAATGGAAGAATATTTTAAAAAAAAAAATGGAAATGAAAAAAGAAAGGGTGAAAAAAAAAATGGAAAATGGAATTAAAAAAAAAAAATGGAAAAAACAAAATGGAAGAAATTGAAAAAAACAAAATGGAAGAAAGGGTGAAAAAAACAAAATGGAAGTGAAGGAAATAGAGAAAAGAGAAACAAGAAAGTCTACTAAGGAAATGATAATTAAAAATAAGGAAACTGTTGGCAACAATACTTACTTAAAATGTTTTATATGAATTTCACTTGAAGGAGCTTTGAATTTTTTGCAAAGTTTTTTGGCATCACTGAAAAAGAGTAAATTTTGATTAAAAAAATTGAAATGGTTTTAAAACAAAAACACAATAGCAAATAGAAAATTTCTCAACCGCACACACTTTCTAAAATCTGATCAAATGTCATTTTTTTTTCTTAGGAAGAGCTTCTTGACAGGACCAAGAAATCTTCATCACCTCCTCTTAATGTACAAAGTAAATCAGAAAATTTTCACTTATCTCTTCAAGGATTTTTATAGGTGAAATCCTTTATTCATTGCCTCTTGTAATTTTTAATAATTTGTCTGGATGATTTAAACCATTTTATAACTCCAGCCTGATGAGGCAGTTGTCTATCAGAAATAAATTATTACCAAACTCTTTAATGATGTATTGAGCTTTTCCTTTGATGTGTGTGTGTGTGTATATATATATATATATATATATATATATATATATAGTTTTCAATGGTCCGGTTTGCATTTGTCTGGTCTTTAATGCATTATTTGTCATTATTTGTTACCTCCCTTTAGTTTTTTTTTTTTTTTTTACTCCATCATAAAGTCAGTTTATGAACCAGTAACAAACTTTTACCAAACAATTTTGGTATGCTTTTGAAAATTTTCTCTACATGTATAATGCAAAAAAAGGTTGGAAACCCCTGCACTAGGATATTGTCCTGGAGTGAACTTGGAGCCTTAAACTTAACCTGCCTGCTGATTTGTGCTACTGATGCATTTCATGCTATCTAAAAATAAATAGATTCTCCAACTGACTCCAATTCAGCCAGGTTTCGATGACAATTTTTTTATCTATCTATATAAAATCATGGGAAATTTGTTGTTTAAAAACAGTAATTTGACTTTGCTAACCAGACACTTCCTCTGTAGCTAAATGGTATAGCACATCAGGCTATATAACAGTTCCATGTAGGATACAAGTTCAATTCAGAGGACATATTTTCTATGAAATTTCTCAGACATTGTAGTTAATATTGTTTATTATAAACAGAGTATTTACTTAAATATTTGTATCTATAAAAAATTACGTATAAACAGAATATATATAATAAATATTAATTCCTGGGGAGATTAGAACTTACAGTTATTCTCACAATGTTCTGGCTATTGTGCTCTATGGTTTTGTTCAAGTGTCTTTTAATGCAGGTAACCTTCAGGGAAGTTCAAACTTAACACATTATTTAATCAACAGTGATAGAGATTGACAGTGGGGCAAGAACAAACAACAAAGATGAATTTAATATAAATAATGATAAATTCTCATCCTAGAAATTCAAACAGAAGGAAAATAAGATACCTTGACTTACCTACAGTTTATTGTAACAATTGTTGATTTTCCTTTCATTTCTTCTGCTACCGTCTGAACCACGGATTGTATTGAGGATAAAGATTTTTCTGAAACAAGCACAAATGAAAAATAACAGTTGAGGAATAAACATTCTTTATTCAGATCAATAATTTTCGTTACATTTACCAAAACATTAGATCTTTGTTTCATCTAATCTATAAATATTCCTTTGTGCACAAGAAAAGTAAAAGACAATAACAGAAAAAAATAAAATAGAACTCCTTCAACATGTATATTTCTGAGATGTGGTATTGTAACTATTTACATTGTTCAGGCTGTTGTCCTCATCTTTGTCATATTCACAATGTTTCGACCGTTGTACGCTCCAGCATTCTTCACGTGATATATATTGGAATTTTGAACCATAGCCTTTATTAGTGCACTGGGGTAGATTGTTCTAGTTCCATGTGCCATATATCTCAGTTTCAGCCAAGCATAGACATGAATACAACATGGGAACCAGTAATACAGAGTGCTAGAGAAAAATAACAAAAATTGTAATATGAGATTTGGTAAAAAAATGAAAACTGAGTCTTTCGGTTTATAAGTCTCAAAAATTCATTCACTGATGTGCATAAAAGTGTTGGTTGAAGTAATCCATTGATTACCAAGAGTCGTGAGTTCAATACCTGGCCACAGCATAGGTGAAGTTACTAAAGGGAATTAACTGAAACTAAGATAACCAGAAAAGGCATGGCACGTGGAACTAGAACAAACTAAATAAAGGGTTCAATTTGAAATTCCAACGAATTTCACCTGAAGAAGGCCAATCCTACAACGGCCGAAATATTATGGATATGACAAAGATGAGGACAACAGTTTGCACAATGTAAATAATATTACACGGTAATAAAGGAGAACAGGAAGAAAGGATTAACCATTAAATTGTAAGACAACAATGTATAATCATTGGTAAGATTGTTTTAGCAACCCTTTATCAATAGCTTCCTACTTCTAGTTCTCTGATCTATTTAACAGGGTCAAGTGAGGACCAATTGTGTCACACAATAAATAGGAGGGCAGTTGTTAATAAAGATAACTTATCATCCCAGTAATTCAGGTTAAGCAAAGTAATCAAATAAAAAAAAAAAAAAAAAAAAAAGAATCATTAAAATACATTGTAGATCCATGTTCAAAATCAATCTTAGAAATTTCAATGTCTCTAAGAATCAGACATTCCTGTTACTCTGGAAAGAGAACTGCCAAACTTCTGCCAGTGAGTTCAACTTCTAATCCAATAGAATAAGTGATAGAAAGGAGAGAGAAACTGCATGGAGAGAAAAGAGAAGAGAGAGGTAGAGAGAGAGAGAAATTAGAAAAAGAGAGAGAAAGGAGAGAAAAAGGAGAAGTCAGAGAGTATTTGAATAGATGAAAAGGAGAGAAAGGAGAGAAAAGAGAGAGAAAGGAGAGAGAGAAAAGAGAAAAGAGAGAGAGAGAGAATTGTCTACCAAGAGAGAGAAAGGAGAGAAAGAGAGAGAGAGAGAGAAAAGGAGAGAGAGAGAGAGAGAAAGGAGAGAGAGAGAGAGAAAGAGAGAGAGAGAAAGAGAGAGAGAAGAGAGAGAGAAAGAGAGAGAGAGAGAGAGAAAGGAGAGAGAGAGAGAGAGAGAGAGAGAGAAAGAGAGAAAGGAGAGAAAGAGAGAGAGAGAAAAGGAGAGAGAGAGAGAAAGGAGAGAGAGAGAAAGGAGAGAGAGAGAAAGGAGAGAGAGAGAAAGGAGAGAGAGAGAAAGGAGAGGAAAGAGGGAGTGAAGAAAGAATGTGGAACAAAAAGAAAAAAGGATCTTGTTTTGTGACACACTGAATCCTTTTTATCATTGCTATTATAGCATTCTTTTATTTGATTAATTGTTTGGACAATCGCCTGTGAATTGAACTGACAGATGTCATTCAATTTACAAATGCTGAGAAGACAACAAACAAAATGTGAGCAACAAGGAATTTTTTAAAAGAAAACAGGAACAAAAAACTGACACAAACCAAGGTACATGATTCACATAGAACATTAATTCAGGATAACTGCTGAGGTTTTTTTGGGGGGGGATGAGACAAAATTTCAAATCAGAATTGTTCATTTAAATTATTTTTAGTAGAAAATATATCCAGTTAAAATACAAAAAGGGTCATAAAAATGAATTCAATGTTTTTGGGTGAATTGGGGGGTAATCATTTCATCCCAAGCAGGGCAATAATGCCACTAGGACGTAAGTGTGTGTGTGTGTGGGGGAGATGATGAATGAAAATGATAAGACTTTAGAAGGAATCAAACTTAATCCTAAACAAGAAACAAGGGATAAACCTCTATTCCTGTTCAATAGACTGGGAAGAAACAAAAAATAAATAAAATATAAGCCAGAGATTTCTAACTGGTATGCCACAATACACTGGTGGGCTACGATACACTGGTGTGCTACGATAATTTTTAAAGGTCATTAATTCATTTTTTCAAATAGTCCAAAGCACAATAAGTGTACATACGAAAATTAAAAACGCATTTAAATTGTTTATATAAATATATCATTGTTATAACAAATAAACAATATATAATATATAAAATAATATAAAAAGCAAGCTTTCCTGCAATAAACAATATTAAAAACAAAAATCAGTCATGGATAGATTCCTTTGGGAGAAAATTTAAGAGTATGCCTGTCCAAAAAAAAAAAAAAAAAAAAAAAAAAAAAAAGAAAGTCAAGCTCAGATATTTCATTAAATGTTAAATTATAATAAACAGAAAAATAAATACAAGTTTTTTCAAAATTGTAATTATTTTCTTTTTATTACAAATATATATTCATGTATAAGCTGACTTCTTTATAGTGCATTCGGATAGAGTAAACAAAATGGCTGCCTTTATACACGACGGATTGAATATTCTACATCTTCTGATTGGTTAACCTTCTATTGGTAGAATATAAAGTGAGTCAAGTCATTTGGGCTAACTCACTAGTACATAATGTATCCAAAAATTGTAACAACCTCATCTTTCACACACTTGTAAATTTATTTTGGACTTTTTGGGGGATTATTTTTCTCTTCAAATAGTGATGATTTTTCTGGCGATTCGATCAATGGTCATTTGGGTATATCTTCCTCGATTACACAGAAGTGGGTTATATAATTACATATGTATTCGCCAGCATTCCTCATTGCAACATCTTCAATTAGACCACCGCTCGGACCAGCTCCAACTGAAGGCTGCATCCAAGATAACGGAATCATCAATCAGTTAAGTGACACATTTCTAATTTGTATTAGTCCTATTAATGCTTCATATTTGATATCGAGGACTTTATTGCAAAGACTGCTTGACTTAAATGTCCCATAATTTTTTTTGCATGAATTTTAAAAGCACTATAAAAAAAAATTTACCAGTGTATAGTGCAACTGGACACCAAAAATGCATGATTTTTAACCTCTTCAAAAAAATTACCTGTGTATAGCGCGGTCCTCTATTTTTTGTGTAAAAAAAACTGATTATAAAAACTCACATGATACTCAAGAATATACGATAGAATATAAACAAATTAAAATGTAAAAAAGATTTTGAAATCCAACTAGTGGCCATGTTTTGTGGTGTAATGGACTCAGAATGAGAAATTGGAGAGATGAGTTCAAATTCCAGTCAGGTTTGTTACATTCACTTATAGACAAATACTGTTGAGAAAGGTAAAAATTCCTGGTTGGCAACTTGTCTACTGCAGAAAAATTAATCTGCCGAATCAGTCACAAATTGAAAGAGACATAATCACCCAAATGTGTATCTAAGATTTCATTTATTTTACAGTTTATCAACCCTTTTGTGAGTTATTTAAAGATGAAACATTTTGGATTGTAAGAATAATTTTTTTTTGCAAGTGAATATTACAATAAATTTTTGTTTGTTTGTTTTTTGTTTTTTTTTTAAATAATTTGTACTTTTTAATCTAAAGTTGGGGTTAAATTTTAATAAATCACAGCATTTGAGAATATTTGTTTTGGTTTTTGGATAGGAATCAATTAATAAATTTACATAATCAAACTGGATCCCAACACACAAATTTTTTAAAGTTGAAGAGAGAAAAAGGAAAAAGAAGAAGAAAAGAAAGAAGAGAAAAAGAAAGAGAAAGAGAAAGAAAAAAGAAAAAGAAAGAGAAAGAGAGAAAAGAAAGAGAGAAAGAAAAAAAGAAAGAGGAAAGAGGAAAGAGAGAAGAGAGAAAGAGGAAAGAGAGAAGAGAGAAAGAGGAAAGAGAGAAAGAGGAAAGAGAGAAAGAGGAAAGAGAGAAGAGAGAAAGAGGAAAGAGAGAAGAGAGAAAGAGGAAAAGAAAAGAGAAAGAGAAAAGAGAAAGAGAAGAGGAAAGAAAGGAAAAGAGAAGAAGAGAGAAGAGAAAAGAGAGAAAAGAAGAAAAGAGAGAAAAGAGAAAGAGGGGAAAAGAGAAAGAAAAGAGAGAAAGAGGAAAAAGAAGAAAAGAGAAAGAGGAAAAAGAAGAGAAGAGAGAAAGAGGAAAAAGAAGAGAAAGAAAAGAAAGAAAAAAAAAAGAGAGAAAAGAGGAAGGAAAGAAGAAGAAAGAGGAAGGAAAGAAAAAGAGAAAAGGAAGGAAAAAGAGAAAAGGGAAAGAAGAGAGAGAAAGGAAAGAAGAGAGAGAAAGGAAAGAAGAAAAAGCATTTTTCCATATTTGTGATTTGGAGTGCTTAATATATAATATGAAAATGGGCACCTCAAGGTGGTGTAAGAGAGAAAGGAAAGCTTGTCTCGCTAGAACATTTCCAAAGAATGATTTAAAAAAGAGTTCGATCCTCACTGGGTGCCCAATACCAAACATTTCGTAATGGCCTTGTGCCACATCTTGGGAAAAAAAATCACTATATAATATGAAAATAAATTTGAAAAAAAAAAAAAAAAAAAAAAAAAAAAAGAGAGAGAAGTATATTTCTGGTGTCATAATGATTTCTGTACAACTCTAAACAATCCTAAATTGTTTTCATTCATTTCAACTATGAAACAAACATGTATCTTTAATCGGGGCTCAAAATTAACTTTTCACTTCATTTTTTCAGAACCATCCCAAAATTGTCCCAAATCCAAAAGCTTTTGTTTTAAAAATTTTCTTCATTTACAAATGTTTATAGTTGTTTGTGTTCATAGCAAAATAAAGACATTAGAATGTCAAGGAAATAAATGTTTCTTTTAATGCATTCAGTCTTTAAACTGGGATCTCTTAAATGTGAAATTAATTTGTTTTTAAGGCAAGTAGTACAGGTTGTAACAAAAAATTTTAAAAGTTAAAATATTGAAGTTTTAAATATAAATAAATGCAAAGAGAAATTAATTAGATTTTACAAAAATTTTTAAATTAAAAAAAAAAAAAAAAAAAAAAAAAAAACTTGACATTTCTTTGAACATTTCACATGATTTATCGTTTTCAGAATAGATGTTTATTTTAAGCATGTTCAGGTCAATTTGTGTTTCAACAACCAAAAACCAGACAAAAGAGATTCTGTGGCAAAGAAGATACAGAAACTGCATTCAAAGATTAATTGGCATTCAAAGCTTTAGAGTTTTATTGTAAAGACATAAATAACCTTGTAACTTGATGGCAGAAAGATATAAATGTTAATGGTTTCTATTTTGACTGATTTAAACACAGTTTTAAATTCAGGATTAAGTTATTTCTAAAATTGAGTATTATTTTCTGAAGGAATCTAATATATTACTTTTTGGATAGAATTGCTCAGGTTTCTCTCTGTAGTTCTTGAAGAATTACAATAATTTGAAAATAAAATAACTGAAATATATCACATTCTTTCTCAATTCAACTGAAAAGCTCTAAAAATAGTAAGGAAAAAAAGTGAAATTTCAAAAGAGAGAAGACACCACATAATTAAAAATAATCGATCAGTTTATTTAGTTTTTTTTTTTTTTTAGTATTTGACATCATATAAAATGACTCCTTTAAAATGGTAAGGAGAATAAAATACACCATCTACGGCTGCTTTTAGCAAATAAAACATCCATTACTGAACGATGTATTAACATCGGCTAACACTAATCTTTCTTCAATAGATCATGTTTCAATATTTATATGTGTATATAGGATCATTGACACACACTGATTCAGGTGACAGTGATCAATAGGTTTTATCATATCGTTGAAAGAAAAAAAAAAAAAAAAAAGATTAATATCAGAGAACAAAAGGAGAGAGTATGTAAGACAAGCTTTATAAAGCAAGCTGACTCTCCATGATTGATTGCAAAGTCACATGACCAACCACAGATAACGCAATCAGGTTACTTCATTTTCTGTGAGTCTTGCCTTGAGAGAGAATTAGAAATCCTACCAGCTTTCAATATTGGCAGCCACAATCTTAACAGCATAATATATGCAGATGACACAGTGCTGATAGCAGAAAAAGAATGGAAACTACAGGAACTCCTACAGAAGGTAGTGAAGACAGGCCGAATGACGGGAGGACTACAAACAGGCCGAATGACCCGGCAGTGGGCGGGGGGGGTTGTAAGGTGGACTCGCGAACAGGCCGAATGACCCGGCGGTGGGCGGGGGGTTGTAAGGTGGACTCGCGAACAGGCCGAATGACCCGGCGGTTTGTTGCAAGGTGGACTTTGAACAGGAAAATGACCCATGGCGGTTTGTTGCAAGGTGGACTATATTGAACAGGCCGAATGACCAGGCGGTTTGTTGCAAGGTCTTGTGATGGTTATTGAACAGGTTAATGTTTTCACGGTTTGTTGCAAGGTGGACTTCATGAACAGGCGAATGACCAGGCGGTTTGTTGCAAGGTGGACTCTGAACAGGCGAATGACCCAGCACCACAATTTTATTTCATTAAGGTGGACTCACGAACAGGCGAATGACCCGGCGGTGGGCGGGGGGGGGTTGAAAGGTGGACTCACGAACATTTAATGACCGGCCCGGCGGGCGGCGGCCAACCCAAGGTGGACTACGAACAGGCCGAATTACCCGGCGGCGGGCGGTGGGGGGTTGGGGAAGGTGGACTCACGAACAGGCCGAATGACCCGGCGGTGGGCGGTGGGGGGGGGAATGAAAGGTGGAGGACTACAAAATAACAGGCGAATTACCGGAATGAAAGGGGGGCAGGGTCCTGGGGATAAGGGGAGGACTACAAACACGCCGAATGAAAGGGGGAGGACTACAAACACGCCGAATGAAAGGGGGAGGACTACAAACACGCCGAATGAAAGGGGGAATGAAAGGGGGAGGACTACAAACACGCGCCGAATGAAAGGGGAGGACTACAAACATTTATTGAATGAAAGGGGAGGACTACAAACACGCCCGAATGAAAGGGGGAGGACTACAAACACGCCGAATGAAAGGGGGAGGACTACAAACACGCCGAATGAAAGGGGGAGGACTACAAACACGCCGAATGAAAGGGGGAGGACTACAAACACGCCCGAATGAAAGGGGAGGACTACAAACACGCCCGAATGAAAGGGGAGGACTACAAACACGCCCGAATGAAAGGGGAGGACTACAAACATATGAATGAAAGGGGAGGACTACAAACACGCCCGAATGAAAAGGGGAGGACTACAAACACGCCCTAAATGAAAGGGGAGGACTACAAACACGCCCGAATGAAAGGGGGAGGACTACAAACATTGGTGAATGAAAGGGGGACTACAAACACTTTTGAATGAAAGGGGACTACAAACAAATTGAATGAAAGGGGAATGAAAGAATGGGAGGACTACAAACACGCCCGAATGAAAGGGGGAGGACTACAAAACCGAATGAATGAAGGGGAGGACTACAAACATTGAATCTAGGGTGGTCTACAAATATACTGAATGAAGTGGGGGGGGACTACAAACAGACCATGTATGATTGTCAATAAAAAGGAACAGACCAACATGAAAATTACAAATTGGAGATATCAAAATCAAGCAAGTACAGAAAATTTAAATATCTGCTAAGTATTTTTGACACAGAAATTCAATGAAGCATTATGATAGCAAGGGTTGCTTTCCAAAAGCAAAGTATTAAGTAACAAAGAAAAGAGTAGTTAATTGTTGTGTTACATCATATCCGTCCTCCTATATGGCAGCTAATGCTGGACCATCTCACAGATGACGAAGAGACTTGAAGCAGCAGAAATATGCCTCTACATTAGGATGCTGAGAATATCATGAAATGAACATGTGAGTAACAAAACATCTTAAGGAAAATAGAAAGAAAAAGGGCACTTCGAATCAGAAAGAGACGATTGAAATTCATAGGAAACATAATGAGGAAAGTGGGCTTGTAGAATTTGACACTCACAGGACATTGACTGCAAGAAGGACATAAGAAAGCAGTACATAACCTTCCTAATGAACTCATGGCAGAACAGGGAGAGATAGCAAAAAGACTAATCTTACTCAGAACTACAAAAGATAGGAAGTTGTGGAGAGCCATGTACACTCACGTCTTGAAGAGACACGGCACATAGAACAAGTCGATAGGAAAGCAGGAATTTGGAAGAGAGTTCCTCAGGTAAGAAACGTGAGAGAACAAACTATTAGAATAGAACTTACAGTTACACTGAAGAATTTCAGAAGTAAAATGATGTCACCTAGATGCCAATTTCCTAGAACGCTTAAATTGGAGACGTTGAGGTATGACTATGGTGAAAGCTTGCAATATTGCTATTTTAGAAATGCTGTAGACTGAACACGTAACAAAGTTTTTAGCAAAAATGGAAACAAAATGGATATTTAGATGTAACATTAGAAAGAGAAGGTTGAAATTTCTAGGGCACATAAGGAAAGGGGGCTTAGAAAATTTAACACTCACAGTACAAGTTGAAACAAGAGGGACAGAAGAAAACAGTGCAAAACCTTCCAAACAAGCTTGTGTTAATGGTTGGCAGAACAGGAATAAAGAGAGACAGCAAAAAGACAAAATTTATTAAGAGCTACAAAGGAGAGGAAATTGTAGAGAGCCATGATCACCAATGTCCTGAAGAGGTGTGGCATGCAGGAGGGAGCACCACAATGTCCAATAGGAAACCAAACTGGCTTCTTACCCTAAAGACAGGTGGGTGCTACCATAGTATATCTGCCATCAATTTTCTACTACAGTATGATATCTACCATTCATTTTCTACTATGGTATGATATTTACCATGAGGAGGCACAGTGGAGTAATGGATAGCAGCTCAAATTAAGGAATCTGAATGCCGAGTTCAAATTTCAGTCAAATCCATGACATTCACTTACATGCTAATACCCTTAGGAAAGATATGAATCCTCTTCTCCCCCCCCCCAGCTATGGGTAAGTAGCAGGACAGACCAGGTTCTATAGCCTTGGATGGCAACTGGTCTACCGCAGAAAGAAATGGCAACCTACTGCAGGAAAAAATCTACCTTGTCAGTCATGAGTTTAAAGATACATGGTCGCCTAAGCATGTATCACATATGACACATAACTGACTGAACTGATGATATTTACCATCTGTTGTAAGTATGAAACATGTTAGGGTTACGGATTAGGGTTAAAGGCAGTGAACAGCAAAATGGTTATGTGTTAAAAATTATTAACAATTTTTTTTATATAAAAAAAAAAAATAAAAAAATTAAAAAATCTTTGATTTTAATGTTTGTAAATTGAGTTGATGTCAAAAATAAAAATAAAAATAAAAAAATAAAACAAAACAGTAAATAGGTCATCGTTTTTTCCTGCACATTTTCTTGCAAAAGTGTAGTGTTTTGTCATTCACGGTTGATCGCAAATGCCTCAGTAGATATCATACTATAGTAGTACCGACAGGTGTGTACAAGAGAATATTATCTAAAGATACCGACATTATTTTCTGTAGACACATTAACGACACTACCAACATAAACACCTGTCAGGATTAATACTTAGCTATTTACTTATGTAGTCTTAACCAACAAAGACATCTTATTGAACATTCATCAATAACTCAAGTATTTCCATCAACCATTTAGGAGGTCATATAGCCACCACATTTAACAGCCATTTCTCAGGTGGATATCAGAGCTCCAGAATAACTTTTTATCACCATCATCTTAGGACCATCTTGTAAAACTTTAAACCATCCCAAAATTAAAATGTTTGGCAAGTATGGACCTCATGACACCCATCTCCCAAAGTGTCAAAAAGACATTTTCCGCATTGACACTGCTATTATTTTAACTGCCTTCACTCCCTTGGTAATGTTTATTTTTTTCAAAAAGCAATGATTAGAAATCCTGGCCTTTTGTTGGACCTTGAACACCAATGTGAGTAGAAAATATACAGCCATGTCAATCCATATTCATTCAGGACATAGATGATCATGGCTCATGATTACTTTTCTTTATTATCTGTCAATTGCCAAGACTTCTTGGACAGAGAAATTTTTACCATTCCTCAGAAATATGTTTTTGCAATGACTGAATCTTTTTCTTAATTCACTACATTTTCCAAAACATTGAAAAGCCTCTTCACACTATTCATGGAAATCTGTTATCCCCGTTAGATAGGCTCCAAGATTTGCATACCCATAGCAGATAGTGAAATTAAAATCCATTGATAATAGTGAACACTTTTTATTTGGTATATCAAAAAATTTTACATGACTGACATAAAAAGTTCAAGTTTTTGTTCACCTCTGCAATAGCCAGGTATTGAATTCACAACTGAGTCAAGTCATATTTTATTCATGTGCACTTGAGGACACCAAGTGTATGAATTTTTTCGGACTTATAAACTTAATGTCTCAGGTACCATTTTTTTCCAGAGCTCATATTGTAATTTTTGTTGTTATTATTGTTTATCTCTAGCACTTTGTATTACTGGTTCCCATATTATATTCATTTCTATACTTGGCCAGCCTAGATTTTTATGGCTTGGCATAAAGAGGCATGGCACATGAAACAAGAACAGTCTACCCTGGTGGGTGAAATGAAGGGTTCAGTTTGAAATTCCAATCATGTGAATAAGGCCAGAGTGTATAATATCTGAAACATCATGAATATGGCAATAAAAATGAGGACAACCGTTCAAACAATGTAGTGTAAGTAATTACAATACCTCATTGCAGAAAGATCCTGAAGCTGGAAGCCATTTTTAATGACTGATCTTAGAAAGTGGTTGTATACAGCTGAAAATTTAGATATTTCTAAATAAAGGCTGTTCCAATAACTTAGTCCGATTTTAAATGTGAATTAAGTTTAAGTGTCTAATGATTTTTCTTTCAGATTTAACAACTTAAGTCTTTGGCAATTTCAGTTTGAATTGAATTCTATGGATGTCAAGGATTTGTGGTTCCAACAGGACGGCGCCATATGCCACACAGCCAATGCAACAATGGCTTTACTGAATGAGAAGTTCCCAGATTGCATCATCTCTTGAAACGGCAAAGTCAATTGGCTACCACAATCGTGCGACTTGACACCTTTAGATTTCTTTCTTTAGGGTCATTTCAAAACTAAGGTCTATGCCAACAAGCCAACAACATTTCAACAGCTGAAAGATGAGATAAAGCATATTGGTGGGATCAAGGAGCAACTATGTAGAGACATCATAAAAAATTTTGACCATCGAGTGGAGGTGTGCCACCAAAGCTTTGGTGGACATTTTGGTGATATTTTTCACACATAATAGTCATGACTTAAATAACAATCTAATAGAAAAAGAAATAAATTTTCACCAATAACACTGATTTATTTACTGCTGACTTTGATCCGTCTTAATGAAACACCCCTTAAGTTTGGCACCATGCAGACAAGGCTATTTAAGAACATGCCTAAAGCTCATAGATTAGTGATTTAGTTTTGTAACAACTTGTGGTAGAACTGCCAGTACCATCGAATGGAGAGACAGGTACAGGAAATATCAAAGCAATACAAAAAAAAAAAAAAAATTTACCTGTTTTTGTGAATATCAGAAGTAAATTTGTTTTTGTCCGCAATAATTTCTTGAATTCTTTGAAATCTTCTATTTTAAGTAATAAATGTTTTCCTTTCTTCTGTCCATGTGAACATAAGACAGGAGAACATATCTGAAAAATAAAGAAATTTTAAATAACATTTGGTGGCTGAAACAAGTAAAGGGACAGTAAAAGCAAAGAAATAATCTTTAAAAATTATTTGCAATTTAACAATATATCTTTTTAGTATTTTGGAATCAACATCAGAGTAATTAATATTAAAAAACTTTTATCTTTTCAAAAAAAATATTTTTTATATTTTTCAAACCAAAATTGGCAATATTTAATTATATATATATATATATATATATATATAAATAAAAAATTATGTGTACAATGTAATTACATAATTAGTCCATTTATCTGAGGAATAAAAATAATTTATGACACATTAGGATATATTAATACCTGTTAGCTTAAAAATAACAAGAGAGAGAGGAGAGAGAGGCAAGGAGAGAGAGAGAGGAGAGAGAGAGAGAGAGAAGAGAGGAGAGAGAGAGAGAGGCAAGAGAGAGAGAGAGACAGAGAGAGAGAGAGAGAGGGAGAGAGAGAGAGAAGACAGGGGGGAGGAGAGAGAGAGACAAAAGAGGAGAGGAGAGAGGAGAGAGAGAGCGAGAGAGAGAGAGAAGACAGAGGCAAGGAGAGAGAGAGAAGACAGAGGCAAGGAGAGAGAGAGAAGACAGAG